ACGACCATCACATATTGCCGCAGTAGCCTCCTCTACCCCAGATACGGCTTTGATAAGGATTGCAAACACTGGTCTCCTACCACCGCCTATACATCTTGAGAACAGATTTGAAGTATTAATGAATGAGGAATCCCTGAATGTGATGAATGTGATCGAACACAGACTGAACCAGCCAGTAGCTAACACTGCTAACTGGCACTCAAGGTCGAGCAGACAGCGGCACTCAGCTCAGAGCGCAGCCGAGCCCAGGACTCTGATAGTGGGGGACTCCATAATCAGAAACATTATTAGCAGGGACACAACTACGTGCTGCCTTCCACAAGCAACGACTTCTGATGTAAACAGGGAACTTGAGAACGTTCTGATGAAACATAAGACTGCAAATCGACTCATCATTCATGTGGGGAAAAATGATATTCATAAAGAGCAGTCAGAACTCCTTAAGAAGGATTTCAATGAACTTTTTGAAACACTTATAAGACTGAAAGTACAAACATTCATCAGTGGACCACTACCAGCAAGAGGAACAAACAGGTTTTCACGGCTGCTTGGGCTCAACACATGGCTGCAAAAAACCTGCAATATAAAAGGAGTAAACTTCATTGACAACTTCAATCTTTTCTGGAGTCAGAGGCAACTGTTTCAACAGGATGGCCACCACCCAAACAAACTTGGTTCAAGAGTGCTAAAGGACAATATCTACTTCTCCCTCAATCATTCTTCTGCAGTGTGTGCCAATCCACTCAACCTGAATGGCACACACACACCTTCAGCACGTGGATGGACATGCGGTTGACATATCACACAAGGACAATGATAACACCACTCAGCCAAAACAGCCACTGCTCACGGACACAATCTCAGCTGAGCCCTGCCCACAGAGCTCACCACAGACAGACTGTGACATACTAGAACTGCTCCAAGTTTCAGCTCCCAAGGACGACTTGTTAGAAAACCAGGACAGCATTTTACAGCCTCCAATAACACCAGAGAAACAGCCCCCTCCAGCCTCTACCCTCTCACCAGACACGTTATCCCTATCTCCAGCATCTCCACAGCATCTTCTGTGCTTCTCAGAGAAAATGGAAAAACTGGTGTTTGCTGGAACCAAACTATCTGCAAGCCCCCAGACATCAACCAAAAAACGGCAGGCCCCAAAACCACGAAAGCCTGCGGGCCCAGCTCGCTCTCCGCTTGTGAGAGCTCTTCGGCCTCTGCAAAAACGCCAGGGCTCACACCCTCCTCCATCGGCTCGAGGTGAACCAAAAACAACTGATACCAGCTCTCAGTGATATGTGCCGGGTGCCCGCTATGATAACAGTAACTTTCTCAAATGTTTACAGAACAAGCGGGAACCCAGTGGGCCTGTATCTTTCTCTATTGCTGTTCGATTACATGATAGAAAGTCTAAGGCCTTCAAAAGCCGTACAGCAAACCCATCTAATCTGGTGCCTATTACACGCCAAACTAAGACAAAAGTAACAAAAAGTAAGACTGTTAAGTTAGCACTATTAAACATCCGCTCACTTAAAAATAAATCACTTCTAGTCAATGACTTAATAACCACATACAACCTGGATTTTATGCTTCTAAATGAAACTTGGCTAGAAGACAGCTGCAGTTCAACAGTCCTCAATGAAACAGCCCCTCCTAACTTTACTTTTATGAGTGTCTGCAGAGCGGGTAAGAGAGGTGGAGGAGTAGCTGCTCTTTTTAAAGATGTCTATCAATGTAAGCAAACATCATTTGGTAACTACCCCTCTTTTGAATATCTGGGTATTGTGTTAAAAGGTGCCCCACGCATTTTACTTATCATTATTTACAGGCCTCCAAAATACTCTCCAGCCTTTGCTGAGGACTTTACAGAACTGTTATCAACAATTTCCTCAGAGTTTGACTGTTTTGCTATTACTGGAGATTTTAACATTCACATAGATAATGATACAAATATGGCAAAAGAAATCAAAACTGTTTTAAAAACGTTTGATCTGACTCAGCATGTACATGGTCCCACACACAATCGTGGACACACTCTAGATGTACTTATCAGTAAGGGTTTAAACATCTCATCGATTGTTATTAAGGATGTAGCACTGTCTGATCATTTCTGTATTTTCTTTGATATATTGATCTCTCCTGCCATTGAAACTAGATCTGTGTCTGTCAAGAAGAGATGCTTAAAGGAGAACACTAGTGTGCTATTTATGAAGGCCATATCTTTAAAACCAAGCATATCTGCTGACTCTGTTGATTTTCTCCTTGATTCTTTTAACTCAAAGGTTAAAGGTGTAATAGATTATTTTGCTCCTGTGAAAGTCAGGAAGAGTGGTAGACAAAAAGCACCTTGGAGAAACTCAACAGCTGTGCAAAATATGAAATGAACATGCAGAAAAACAGAGCGCATGTGGCGGAAGACAAAACTTGTAGTCCATTATAACATCTACAAAGACAGCATCCAGGCTTTTAATATTGAACTAGGCAAAGCTAGACAGACTTTCTTCTCAAATATTATAAACAGCAACTTATACAACACACGCACTCTTTTTGCTACTGTAGAGAGACTGACAAACCCCCCAAGCCAGATTCCCAGTGAAATGCTCTCAGACAGCAAGTGCAGTGAGTTTGCTTTTTTCTTCTCTGAGAAAATTAATACTATCAGAAAGGTGATCAGCACATCATTGAGCTGCACTGGGGTCAGACAGATCAGACCACAACCTGAGAATGTAGTTACTATGTCTGTTTTCGAAGAAATTGATGGCAACATTTTGGAAGAAACCGTACAGCACCTTAAAACATCAACCTGCGCCCTTGACGCACTTCCCACATCTTTCCTCAAAAGTGTGTTAAACAGTTTAGAAGCAGATCTCCTAAAAGTGGTTAATGCCTCACTTCTCTCTGGTAGTTTTCCAAACTCCCTGAAAACTGCAGTTGTCAAGCCCCTCCTGAAAAAGAGCAATCTGGATAAGACTATATTAAGCAACTATAGACCGATCTCAAATCTTCCTTTTATAGGCAAGATCATTGAAAAAGTTGTCTTCAATCAGCTGAACAAATTCTTAATCTCGAATGGATACTTTGACAATTTTCAATCTGGTTTCCGATCGCATCACGGCACAGAGACAGCTCTCATAAAGATAATTAACGATATTCGCTTAAATACTGATACAGGGAAATTATCAGTGCTGGTACTACTCGACCTCAGTGCTGCATTTGACACTGTCGATCACGACATACTTCTTGACAGGCTGGAAAACTGGGTGGGGCTTTCTGGGATAGTCCTAAAATGGTTCAGATCGTACTTAGAAGAGAGAGGTTATTATGTGAGTATAGGAGACCATAAGTCTGAGTGGACGTCCATGACATGCGGAGTCCCTCAAGGCTCAATTCTTGCACCACTCCTATTCAACCTATATATGCTCCCAATGAGCCAAATAATGAGAAAGAACCGAATCTCTTACCACAGCTATGCAGACGACACACAGCTCTACTTAGCCCTATCGCCTAACGACTACAGCCCCATTGACTCCCTGTGCCAATGCATTGATGAAGTCAACAGTTGGATGTGCCAAAACTTTCTTCAGTTAAACAAAGACAAAACTGAAGTCATTGCGTTTGGAAGCAAAGATGAAGTTCTCAAGGTGAATGCATACCTTGACGCTAGGGGTCTAACAACTAAAAATCAAGCCAGGAATCTTGGTGTGTCTCTAGAGTCAGACCTTAGTTTCAGTAGTCATGTCAAAGCAATAACTAAATCAGCATACTATCATCTGAAAAATATTGCAAGAATTAGATGCTTTATTTCCAATCAAGACTTAGAGAAACTTGTGCATGCTTTCATCACCAGCAGGGTGGATTATTGTAATGGACTCCTCACTGGCCTTCCTAAAAAGACCATAAGACAGTTGCAGCTCATACAGAACGCTGCTGCCAGGATTCTGAGCAGAACCAGAAAATATGAACATATCACACCAGTCCTCAGGTCTTTACACTGGCTCCCAGTTACATTTAGGATTGACTTTAAAGTATTATTACTGGTATATAAATCATTTAATGGGCTAGGACCTCAATATATTGCAGATATGCTCACTGAATATAAACCCAACAGATCACTCAGATCATTAGGATCACATCAGCTAGAAATACCAAGGGTTCACTCTAAGCAAGGAGAGTCTGCTTTTAGCTATTATGCCAGCCGCAGCTGGAACCAGCTTCCAGAGGAGATCAGATGTGCTCCTACAGTAGTCACTTTCAAATCCAGACTCAAAACACATCTGTTTAGCTGTGCATTTACTGAATGAGCACTGTGCCACTGTTCGTCCGACTGTTTTTACTGTACTTTATTTTTTATTCTAAACTGTTTTAATTATTCTTATTTGTTTTGATTATTTTAATTTCTTCTATGTGAAGCACTTTGAATTACCATTGTGTATGAAATGTGCTATATTAATAAACTTGCCTTGCCTTGCCTTGCCTATGTTGCCCCCTCAATTAAAGACGGGACCCTCCAAAAAATTATATTCTGGCTACGCCCCTGTGCTGATGTCTTCAGATCTCCTGTAAATTGTCACTTAAAGCTCATTTCATTGGTGTCAACAGACTGAGGGGATTTGTTGGCTATCATATGTACGTTTATTTCTGTTTATTTTAATTGTTTTTCTTACCGTTATTTATATTTTGAAGAATTTAAATTATTTATATTCTTTTCTATATTTCTAGATACCTGCATTTTAATGAAGAAGCAGAATAATGTTAGGATTAGCAATAAAGATAATTAATGAATTGGCATCAGTTACTGTACGATGAATGACATAAATGCTTTGAAGTGTCATTTATTATAAAAACAAACTCAGTAATTTTTATTTTTTATTTCGGCAGATCAGCAGCTCCGAATTCATCATCAGTGTAGCTCCTCCCACTGCAATCACATCATCAGTGAATGTCCTCTTACTGTAATCCATCATCAGTGAAGCTCCTCCCACTGCACATACATCATCAGTGAAGCTCCTCCCACTGCAATCACATAATCAGTGAAGCTCCTCCTACTGTAATTCCCCAATAAATGCTGTAAATTCCCATCAGCTACAAGTGAAGAAGAGCATCAGAGCATCAGGAAGAGCTGAAATCTGCCAAGACTGAGTTTATTAAAGAGGACAGTGAGAACATGAGTGATCCAGAACCCTGCAGAATGAAACACACTGAAGATCCTGAAGAACAAAGAGGTTGGTGTTTATTCTTCATTCATTCATGATGCTGAAGAACATTCATGTTAGAAACATTCAAGCACTTCATCACATTTAGATAAACAGTTAAACTATGAAATGGTACAGAATGTTCTGGGTTTTTTTAACAAATGGCCAGTAAAGGGAGGTTTCATATTGTCAACATCAGGTCAAACTAAATCTAAATATTCTAACTGTTTTATTTTACATTTATTTGATATATGGTTTACAATTTCTAACAATTTTACCAGAATTTTGACCTAAATTTTGCGCGTATTTTTACAAACATAATAATTATTCCAAAATGTAAAAATGTGCAATCTACTCTGCTTTACTGCAAACATTTGTGTTCTTTCCTGCAGTGAAATTCACTTGATCTTGTTTCTTTTGTACCACTTTCACATGCATGTGAAGTCAACGGAAGAAGTTCAGTGTGAACGGCCCTTAATTAAAACGATTTAGTAGTTTTTAACATAATTAAATATCAATCTAAAAGTTGGTGTTAAAATATGGCAGTATTGTGTATTTTTATGTTCATATGCAGGGGTGCACATAACTGGTACGCAGGTACGCATGCGCGACATAAATCAGAAATGCGTAATGCCACTTGTGTTATTACGCGCCTTTGCGTACTTAAAGGGTAACTGTCGCCAAAATGCAACCTAGGGTCTTTTTGTTAATCTACCCGAGGCAAACTTTCATTTAAAAGCATAATTAGAATGGAAACGCCACTTTTAAGTTTGACCGTATTTTCGTTTTCGGTCAAATTGCCTTTTGAATGGGAGAGCTAGGGGCACGTATATGATAGCATCAAAATCGCTATTTTTAAAACACTAAGAAGGCTCGACACAACATGAAACTTTGCTGGAAGTATCACCAGGGGCTCTACACATGAATTCGAGCATTGAGAACATTGTTTGTGTACACAGTTTTCTAAAAAGAAAGATAGTGAACAACTCACTGTAGCTGTGTCCGCCGGAACAGTAACACCCGCATTTTGTCAGTCAAAAATAGTCGATCTCCGAATGCGAACTGAACTGACTCTGAATTTTAGTATTGTTTCTTATATGAGGATCCTTTTTCAAATACAAGGTCAATATTGTTTTTCACTTACGACAAAACAACAAATTATCCGTGAATTTATATGGAACTAAGCTTTAGGAGCTTTCCATCTTTACTCTCCTCCCTGTTAAGTTGCATTCGGAGATCGACTATTTTTGACTGACAAAATACCGGCTGACACAGCTATAGTGAGTTGTTCAAAATCCTCACCATGAAGTCTAATGAACTACACAATCAAATTGCACTTCAAATTAAATTTTTCCAAAGATGTTTTCTGTCATTTTAGGTCGTTTTTTTCACGCTAATGTAAATTTAAGTGTTCGTTTTTTAAAATAAGTTCGGTCTTTAGTTAGTTATTTGATGCTATAAAAACGGGAATGTGATGTCATGATTGACAGCTGTGATTGACAGCTTCTACACTGAGGAGGACTGCACTTATTAAGACCACGCTACATATGGGGTGAGTACCAAACACCATCTCCTGGTACTCACCTGAGTAACTCACTGAAAAAGTTATGTGCACCCCTGTTCATATGTTAGATTAGTGTGTCATTGACCAAACATATTTAATAGTTCTCACTACAGAAACATGGGATTTGTGCCTATAATGTTTTTTTTTTAAATAACTGGAAGATCAGTGTAACTCATTCTTGGTAAGTTTCAGGGACGTATAATTAATTTATAACAAAACAAAAAATATTGTATTATTTTATAGCAGTTGTCTGTTACATCTGGGATAATTGTAATCTCCATTCACTCCATATTTCTCTCTTTGAATTATTTTGATTATTTAGAACATTTTAAAATGAGAGTTTTTCTTTCATGTCAGACCCGATGGAGGAGAGCGAGAAGAGAGAAGAACTGAGTGAAGTGGAGGAGGAAAATCATGAAGTGGAGGAGGAACATCATGAAGTGGAGGAGGAGAGTGAAGAACTGAGTGAAGTGAAGGAGGAGAGAGAAGAACTGAGTGAAGTGAAGGAGGAGAGTGAAGAACTGAGTGAAGTGAAGGAGGAGAGAGAAGAACTGAGTGAAGTGAAGGAGGAGAGAGAAGAACTGAGTGAAGTGAAGGAGGAGAGAGAAGAACTGAGTGAAGTGAAGGAGGAACATCATGTCCTACCTGGAGAAAAACCTTTGAGTCGCTCAAAGACTAAAAATACATTTTTAAAGAAAAGAAGAGCCAAGAAATCTTTAAACTGCACTCAGTGTGGAAAGAGTTTCACAACCAAACAACGTCTTGAGATTCACAAGAGAGTTCATACAGGCGAGAAGCCGTTCACCTGCACTCAGTGTGGAAAGAGTTTCACAAGCAAACAAAATCTTGTTGTTCACATGAGAGTTCACACAGGCGAGAAGCCGTTCTCCTGTGATCAGTGTTGGAAGAGTTTCACACAATCATCACACCTTGAAAGTCACATGATGATCCACACCGGAGAGAAGCTGTTCACATGTGATCAATGTGGCAAATCATTTCTTAGGGCATCAGAGCTGAAGATACACCTGGCAGTTCATACGAAGGAGAAGCCGCATTCATGTTCTGTGTGTGGAAATAGTTTTTCACTGCTGCCATATTTACATAGACATGAGAAAATTCATACTGGTGTGAGAGAGTACATGTGCTTTGAGTGTGGGAAGACTTTTAGAACAGCTGAGAAATTAAAAGTGCACCAGAGAATTCACACTGGAGAAAAACCTTACAAGTGTTCACACTGTGACAAGAGATTCAGTCGTTCATCACATCTGAAAACACATAAGATGATCCACACTGGAGAAAAACCTTACAAGTGTTCACACTGCAACAAGAAATTCAATCAGTCTGCCAATCTGAAAACACATGAGAGGATCCACACTGGAGAGAAGCCGCACACGTGTGATCAGTGTGGAACAAGTTTCTCTTTTAAAACTCAACTGAAGATACACATGAAGATCCATGTGTAACCCCTTCACTGATTCGTTCTTTCGACCCTCCCGGACAGGACCACACAGAGACGAAGGCAAGACGAACGAACACCCATCACGTGTTTACTGGGAATATGTGAAATGACCCCTTCCTGTTCGCCGGAGTGATGAGATAGTTAGTAGATTGTGTTCACTCAATGTCTAGTTGTCTAAGTGGTGTCCGCTTAATAATGTAGAATTCATAGACAATTGGAAAAGTTTTTGGGGCAAGCCTGATCTGTTGAAAAGAGATGGTATTCATCCCTCCTGGGCTGGTGCTGCTCTTCTTTCTAGTAATTTGGCTCATCGTCTTAGAGCTAAAACATGACAATCTGGGGCTCAGGTCAGGAAGCAGACATACTGGCTAAACCGACCGTCTGCTAGCGGCATTGCGTCACTGAGGTCAGATAAATCCCATCACACAGAGCCTCTTTCACCTAGATATCATCATATAAAGACTGTGTCTGTTCCCCGAATTTGGAAATCCAAAAAAACGTCTGGTTAAAAATGTACTTGATGTTCAACAAATAAAAAAACAGATATGATACAGATGAGCAAATGATAAAGCTTGGGTTGTTGAATATTCAATCCCTTATTCAAAATCGCTCATAGTTAATGATATGATTTCAGATTATAATCTTGATATGCTGTGTTTGACAGAAACCTGGCTAAAACCAAACGACTACATTACTTTAAATGAGTCCACCCCACAAGATTACTGTTATAAACATGAGCCTCGTTCGAAAGGCAAAGGGGGAGGTGTTGCTGTAATTTATAGTAATATTTTAAAAACCACTAAGAAATCTAGTTTTAAATATACTTCTTTTGAAGTGTTGGTGCTTAATGTAAAAATATATAGTGTAAACAATAAATCAAATTTGAGAATTCTGCTGGCTATTGTGTACAGGCCACCAGGGCACCATAAATATTTTTTCAAAGAATTTGCGGACTTTCTATCGGAATTAGTAATGGCTGCAGATAAAGTACTAATTGTTGGTGATTTTAATATACGGGTGATTCTTAGACTATGGGCACTTTCATGTACTTTGGTCATATTTTTAAAAATACATATAATTTTGGACATATTCCTCTTTCTTTGTTAAACTAACAATAAAACTACCTTAACTTTTTACTACCTTTCTATTATGATTTTTTCATACTTTTTAACCTAACTATAGTGTTGTGGTGGAAATGACACCAATACTGTGCGACAGCTATATTTTGTAATAAAAGTAATATTGATAGTGGTCTCACATTAAATACAATAATGTATTTTAATAATTTCACTAGTGCTTAATTTAGGAATATTAATAGTTACCAAATAAGTCATATTTTTAAACTGTATTTTCATTGTTGAAGTTAAAAGGTCTGGGTGTGCGACAAGGAGAAAACAGTGATTTTGACACCTGTAATGTCGCTTTAAAAAGTTTGTGTGAATGATTGTTTAGATGGTTTCTATGGAAATGGTCAGTGACATCAGAGCACATGTTTGATATGGAGGCAATTTAAATTTTCATCAAGTACAAAAGAAGAAAAATCAAGGTAAATATTGCTTGAGCAGTTAATATATTTATTCTACGTCATTTCCAAACATGCTGTACCTTCAAGGGTGTTTTTAAAAAGTAAATTTATTTAAGTTAAATAAGAGTATTTTGCATACATGAATTGCTAAGTATTAATTAAAAGCTAATCAGTGAAGCTATCTTCCATTTTTTCACAAAAAAACTACAGAAATGTCACTTCCACCACAGTCATATCCACCACACTGCCCTCTGTGGTGGAAAAAATGACATTTATGGTTAAAAAGTACCATCATCCAAGCTGAAGTCTCCGAGGTAGTCAAGAAACTCCTCTGTGGCAAGGCAATGGGGGTGGATGAGATATACCCTGAGGACCTCAAGTCTCTGGATATTGTGGGCTGTCTTGGCTGACACGCCTCTGCAGCATCACATGGCGGTCGGGGACAGTACCTCTGGACTGGCAGACCGGGGTGGTGGCCCCTC